TGACTTTGCTGTCTTCTTGCTCTTGTGTAGGTTTTCCAGATTTTCATCTGTGCTCTGGTTGAACAAACCGGAAGCATCGAAGGGTAGGTTTTCTACACATGTTTTAATGTCATCTACAATATTGGCAGAATGTAGCCATGCATGTCTTCTTAGAGTTATGAGGGATGCAAAGTTCTTAGCTGTAGCATCCGCTGTATGGCGAGAGGCGAGAAGTTGATGTTTAGATACAGTCAGGGCCTCAGCATGAGTGTTAAGGCAGAGCTGCTAGTGTCTTCTGAGGCAACCTGCAATGCTGGAAGGATTCTTGACCAAAGTTGCTTTTGGTAGGCCCCCATGGCCACAAGATAGTTAATGGCACAGAGGACAAAGGTAGTCATAGAGTACATGCGTCGTGCTAAGATTTCAAGTTTCCTTCCCTCCTTGTTGGAAGGACTAGCGTGACCCTTGGTTGGCGTCTTAAAAGCACTGGACTCCACAATTAGGGAATTTGGAGCAGGGTGTTTCACAAGAAAAGACGTGTCAGAACCATGGATGCGATACAGATTTTCTGTCCTTCCTGACATGGTTGTGGGAAGAGCAGGATGCTCCCAGTATTCCTTAATCAAGTCCAGTAGTTCAGGAACATAAGAGAGACTCACTGGGTGAGATCTCTCAGAATTGATATCCCCAAAGATGAGATCCTCCTCTCTTGGAGCTGATTGCTCTGTTGCAAGTTTTAAGGTTTTAGCCATACGGGAGACCATCTGGGTGTAGGATGAGAAATCCTCCGATGGGGAGGAAGGGTGTAGATGTGCAGCATCGGAGCATACTGGTTCCCCAGGTACAGGGGTGTCCAGAGAAACTTCAGACTCCCCTTCTTCATCATTGTCTGATGAGGCTTCTAAGGCTGGTTGGTCATCCTCAGAATGTTCGAGGATACCATGAGCTTTCTCAGGATCAGGTGCAGCTGCTTGCTTTGGACGTGTTGGAGTGGGTCTCATATCTTGAGGGAGATCCTTGGCAGGATGGCTTAAAGTGTTAGTATCCTTTGATGTTGAAGGTTTCACAGGCTTGACCTCCAGGGGTCACTTGTGTGTAGATCTTCTCGGAGGAGTACAAGAAGAAGAGGAGGAATAAGTATAATGGGACCTTTTCCGACGTCGCCTCCTATCCGTCGAGGAGGATCCAGAAGAATAGTTTCTCTTTCAGTGTCGATGGCGAGACCTCCTACGACTTTGGCTATAGTTGGAGTCTGAAGGGGAGGAGTCTCTTCGACATCGATGTCCATGCTTGTGCTTGTGTCGGTGTCGACGCTTTTTAGCGGGAGGTTCGTAATCGTCCCAATCAGAAGGTGGGTGTCAAGGAGGAGCCTCGACAGGTTTCTCAGGTCGGCCTCTAGGAGGTGGAGGGGACCTGGAAGGTAATGATCCTGAAACAATGGAAGGGGATCGAGAAGCCCGCCCTGTTAGAATTGGGCTAGATGGGGCAGTAGCTAAGCCAGTCGACCTGAGTGATCTGGCGTAGGCGACCTTCCCCTGTCGACCAGTGGTTCCTGTCGAGGTGGAAGGGAGGTGCCTAAATCCGATGTCGAGTCTCGGTCCCGAGACGAATCCTCCAGTATAAGTGAAGGCAAAGAGGCAGAAACAGGTGGAACAACAATAGTAATCTCATGAGCCTTAGACCCAGGCTTTTGGGGTGGCTTCTTCTGCTTGGGTTCCGTCAATGTCGATGGGATAGAAGAAGCAGATGGGGGTTTCTTTGCCACAGTTGGTTTCTTGGACTTCCCTTTTGAAGATTTCTTAGTAGTCTCCTTTGATGTTTGTGGAGGAGATGAAGAGACAAGAGTGACTTCCGAATGGACAGTGGAGACGGATTGAATAGACTCCATGTCAGAAGGTTGTGAGGCAGACAAAGTATGGTTCCAAAGAAAATATTTCAGGCATTGCTGACAGGCTTTTAGCGTAACCTTGATGAACTGTTTACAGTGTCTGCAATGGGTAGTCAAATGCATCTCTCCAAAAGAGAAAACACAAAGGGAATGTCCGTCCTGAAAGGGTCATTTCCGAGAGCATGACGAACAGCGGCTAAATGGCCCTCTCTTAGGTGACATAAGCGAAGTAGCGTGGGAAATTGAAGAGAATAGGTGGAAACTGAAAGCGTCCGGGAGGCGCGTGGTGCTTCAGCAGCGGTAAATAGGCCTCAATAAAGAGTGATTACGGTATTTAAGGTACCTGCTGAATCGCCAGAGGCAAGAGAATAAGGCAGTCCGTGATCAGGGCAACAGAAGGTCAGGTAGACGAAAGAGCCAAATGCAAGTTGAAAGGAGTGAGGAAAAATAGCGAATTTAATAGCGAATTTGAAGAGCTCTGAGCAAGAGGTTCCAACTCCGCGGGCAGAAAAATGGAACTGGGGCTTTTGGCAGGCGGAGCATGCACAATGCAGGGCAACCTAAACTTTGTTACTTTTCTCTACAGCTCTAAAAGATTCCGAGAGGTCCAGCGCAGGCGCTGTTTAACCCACCAGTGTGGATTCATAGAGAAGCAAGAGATTTATACAAAGCAATAAAACATATGTTAAAGCGATTTTCTTTGTCCATTGTCAACGTATCTGATATAGTTACTGATGGTGCCCCAGTAAAAGAGGACTTGTAAAATAGAAGACAATGCAACTGCCACCCAAAACTCACATTTGATGAAGTATCATTGCATAGTATGTAAAAAAAATTATGTGCAAAAGCTTTAAAAATATCATCATGCAAATCATCATCAATACTGTAAATTTCATAAGGGTCAAGGGATTAAATCATTACCAATTCCAGGAATTCCTAAAAAGTGTTGATGCTGACTATGGTGGCATCATTTACTTTTTGGAAGTAAAACAACTAAGCCAAGGCCAAGTGTTGACAAGATGTTATGATTTGCAAACGTTATCGACATTTATGGTATCAAAAACCAAAGCTGTACCAGAACTGACGATGAAAACTGGCTTACAGATTTAGCATTTTATTGGATTTAACAGCTCCTTTAAATGAGTTAAACGTGGATGTTCAAGATGAAAATCAACTTATCAATACAATGTTTCAAACCATGAGTGTTCCAAAAGAAACTGAAATTATGGCAAGCTCAAATTAAGGCAAACAATTTTATGCATTTTGACACATTGGCTAAACACAGTCCTGTGAATGGTGAAAAACATGCGACCTTGTTTTTTTGATTTGATACAAAAAAATTGAAAACAGATTTCAAGATTTCCAGGAAAATAGTACTTTGGTATATTTGCTACTCCATTTTCAGTCGACATAAATATGTTACGTGCCAACTTTCAAATGGAATGCATAGAGCTGCAAGCTGACAATCAGCTTAAAGAAAAAATTGACCATGTCTTTTTACTGGATTTTTATACGTCCTGTCTTCCCAGAGACAAATATCCCTCGCTTCACGATCACACTTTATTCGTGTCATAGCTTTTGGGCAGCACCTACAGTTCTGAGCAACTATATTCAAGAAAGAAGCAGACTAAGAGTAAAATTAGAACCAAAATATCTGACGAAAACCTTGAAAACTCACTGAGAATTGCAACTACTTCCACCAAACCAGATATTGATGCATTAATTTCTCAAATACAATGTCCAATACCCCTCTAGTTTTATATTGACCTGTTTCTTATTTTTATAATAAAAATATTTTTTAAAATTGATGAAGTTTTATTACTTAGATATACTCATTTTCTATATTACTGATTGCAAATTTGGGATCTGCTTTACAATTTCAAGACTCTCTGAATGGGGATTATTATGAGAGGACTTTTTAATTGTCTGTGGTGGCAAATATCACGAAAATTATGCAGAGACCCTTTTTTGCCCATCAGCTTTCGTTAGTGTTGTGTATTTAATGTGTGGCCCAAGGCAATCTACTTCTTCCAATGTGGCTCAGAGAAGTCAAAAGGTTGGACACCCGCTATAGACCATCTTGACTGAAGACACGGGTGCTGTCAACATTCAAGTTCCCCTTTTCTATTTACAGTTTGGCATCCTTTTTCTTGCTGGTGATGCAGGCACAAAGTGTGCAGCAATATTGGGCCTTTTTGTGGCACACTGAATTGTGGATACAGAAGCACAATATCCCACATTCATAAACTGGAAGATTTTTTAAAGAATGAAATGTTCTAATGGCAAAGCAATTTCAGGATTAGCTGAGACAATGACAAAGAACAACAAATTAGTTTGGGGTGTTTGCGTCTCACAGGAGAAAAAGTGGTTGTATCATATAAACTAAAGCTAGATTGTTGTTGAAGTTGTGTAATTCTATTTCAAAGTAAGCCTTCACAGCACATCAACTGAAACTGTTAATAATGTAACGAACTGTCTTATTTTTATTTTTTTAAGATTTTGGATAAAAAATTCAAAGCAGCATTTTCTGAGCTACAAGGTTTTCATTAATGCTGTTCCTCATGAAGAACAGTCTTTTCATTCATGTAGGAGTGAAAAATGTCACAGCAGTCAACAGTGAGGATGTGTTCAGATGCCCTTTTTCATCAGACAAAAATATTTACAAATATTTGTCACATCTTTAAAAACAATACCATGATTACAGCGGTACCGTGCTTTACGAAAGCTTCAGTTCATGTAATTTTCTAATTTCAAAATTCATAGAAAATAGTGCCCCAGTTTATGTTCCGCCCCCGCTGTACAAAATGGTTTCCCCAAGATGCATTGTGCCTGGAGGTTTCCAGTGTCGCCCCATTCCTAACGCAATCTGCTTTATCAGTTTACAAAACTTCCGCATTACGCAACATCCCAGAGGACACATTAATTTCGTAAACCAAGGTACGCCTGTACTTTACAAGTGTTAACTGATTTCAAAAAATGAACCCATCCTTTTATTTATATATTCAAGCAAATTCCTCTGAAAAAAACAAATTACCGTATTTTTCACACCATAAGACGCACTTTTCCCCACAAAACGGGGGGTGGTGGTGGAAAATCTGTGCGTCTTATGGAGCGAAGAAAACAGATTATATTTTCCTGTTTTCTTCTCCTAAAAAATTGGTGCATCTTATGGAAAGGTGTGTCTTATGGAGCGAAAAATACGGTAGAATGCTTTCAATACTATTTTTCACGACCAGGGCTTTTTTCTCTCGAAATTGTAATAGATTTTGGACCATCATTTTCTTATCCTATGCGCAGAAAAAAGTACATGTGCATGTGTACATGTACATGTACATGTACACACACACACACACACACACACACACACAAAGAAAGCGAGATTGAGAGAGTTATGTCTATATCTACCTATAAAAATCATGATTATCGAGAAGTTTCCCGTTAACTTACATCTCTGTAACCTAATATTAGTTTTATTCCATTTTAAATGACAATTACAGTACTCAGTAAAAGAAGGCAACTTGTTCATTAATTGTTACGTACACTTACGTACATTGCTGCTGACATATAGGATCACTAAGCTGTTTTCAGGAAAGTGATTTTCTTTAGTTTCCAACCTTATCTCATGCAGAAAATAATTATTTGAAAAACCCTGAAACTTTATTTATTCATTATTTTCTAATTAAAAGCTTCACACCAGGGAATAGTCAACTGGTTCAAAATACAAACACAGAATTACCTAATGAAGAAGTAAACAGAAAAGAGGTTTACAAAAACTTTGCGAGATCATAGTGTTTTCCTTCCTTTCGCTGCTTTCCAAGTCAGAAAGAGTAAACAGCCTTCTCCCAGCTTTCTTCTTATCCACACAGCTGAGAGTGTAGGATGTTTACACTACCTGTCACTTGGAATTCTTATGGATCAATTGCAAACCAAGTACCAAAGTTCATCAGCTTCTGTAACGAGAAAAAAAAGTATTTGCAGCATTAGGGACAGATTGTACCATTTTGTTTTTCAGATTTTTTTTCCTTTGCTTTTTGTTTTGGGGTTAGCTTGGAGGAGACTTCCAAAAAAAAAAACCTTCCAAAATCACAAAAGGAATGACAAACCCAATACTCTTACATTAGATGAGAGTTGTCAGGCTTCAGTGCATTTCAGTTCAGAGTGTTTCCAAGTCTTGATAGTACACCTGCAAATAAAGTAAACTTACCATTATAAACCACATCATTGCATCATTGTGTTTCACCTTTCCTCCTTCACCCAGAAATAAATTCTCTTTTCAAATTGTGTTTGCACTGATACCCCTTAGTTCAAATTGTATTTTTTTCTCACATTAAAAAAAAGGTGAGAGAAGCATACTTAACATTGTCTGACATAAACTATCCCATTTAAAGACAGTATTGCAATTAATAGAAGAAATCCCTCTGTCCCTAATGATGAATAGACCAGTAGTTCAAGATATTGGATGCCTTTTTTCTAAATAAAAGTCCCAAAGACCTTGCAATACAAAAAAATACAAATGTTAAAAACAAGAATAAAACCTAAATACCTATATTGCAGTAATACATCTCTGTAGTTATCTCCCTTCAAGTAGGAACTCACTTATAGTGACTCCAACTGGGATTTCAAGGCGAGATATTTAAGGAGTGGCTTTACCAGTTCTGTTCTCCCAATCAGTCTATGTGGCTGGCAGGGGATTCCACACATTGGAAGCCAGATTTCAGTTGAATATCAGGAAAAAGTTCCTAACTGTTAGAGCAGTACAACAGTGGAACCAGTTACCTCGGGAGTTGGTGAGTGCTCCAACACTGGAGGCATTCAAGAAAAACTTGGATAATCAGCTGGTAGATATGCTTTGATTGTATTCCTGCGTTGAGCAGGGGGTTGGACTTGTGGCCTTGTGGGCCCCTTCCAACTTTTCTATGATTCTATGATTCAATCCTAGGCCTCCCTGAATCCTAGTCCATTATTCTATCTACTACATTGCACTGGGTATCTAATACAGTTCTACTCCATAAGAAATCACAAGGATAATGAATTGGTATAGTGTCAATCTTAGGAAGGAAAAGCACATCCTATCACCTGGAATTTTGATAACATGCAGATAAACAAATCATATCTTATAAAATGTTATTATCCAATTATTTTTGCTAATTTTTGTTGTGTACAATCATCTCTTTAGTATACAATATGGTTATGGTTAGACATTGAAAAACTGGTAAAATCAATTCAGGCACCCAAGCCCCTGTGTACATCTCTAATAAAGGGTTATGTTGCAGAAAGTAAAAAGAATGCGAAAGTGGTGAAAGTTACACATCATATCACATCACATCACATCACTAAATTATCCACAACATACCCAGTAATAGAAACAATATAATCCAGACCACCAGTGACAAACTGATGATAAGATAAAGAAAGGACAAACACTAGGGATGCACAGAAGGAAAACTCAGTCTGCTTTCATAGCAGGTTCTTTGGGAGAGAGGCTAGATCTTGTATGTGTTTTCATTTTGGTTTTCCTCATTCAGGTCTCTGGTGATGGACTGAGTTAAGCCTTAAAGAATCTTCAAAACTACTCCAACAAATCAAGGTCATGGTAACAGACAATCATCTGCCCCAAAAGCATGACAACAATGCCTAAGAAATAAAAATCTTAATCAAACCTATGCAGCAGGCATTTTACATCAGATCACATCCTAGTCAGCATCATCAGCAGGAAAGAGTACAGTACAGATAAAAAAGGGAAGCACGATGAGATTCATCAGATCTCATCATCACCATTAACAAGACCTATGAACAAGGAAACCCAAATGAAATAGGATCATTCGGTTACCCTTACTTTTGGAATTCTAAATCCATTATATTTTTCTATTGCAAAGCCATGAAAGACTCCGAAAATGAAAGAAAAGGCCAAGAGTTCAAATCTCAGATTCCTGGGAGAGGAACCAGCAGAGATCACCCAAGTGTATGTGGCCAAAGAGATTATGTGTCTTCCACCTATGCAACTTTGGGCAAGCTGCATAGTACTACAACCAGAAAGGACTTCCAGGTACTTTATATACTGTACAGAAAACACTATGAGGGATACCATAAGTCAGAAAAGACTTGATCACACACAAAACTATTAGTTTCTATTATTAAATCACTGTCCAAAAATAAATGCACTGAAACCCAATTAATCCATTCCAGTTGTTTTCTGTTCTTATGTCCAGGCATGATTTGTAAGTCACAGCATTAGTTCCCATAGGAACTAATGCAAAACCGGTTAATCCGTCCTCTACCACTAGGAGGAGAATTTATTTTTTAAAACTAAGATGACTTAGGTTAAAAAAAAGGGCAGGATAGGAGGGAGGGAGGGAATACCTTTTAAACAGAACACTGTTAAAACCAAGCAGCTTTAAACCAAACCAAGCACCTTTTAAACCAATTTTTACATTTTAAAATTACAGTACCAGGCAGTCGAAAGTCCATCTCCCACTTTCCCCACGAGTTATTTTTGTTTGTAAGTCAAAGCTCCGTTCACAAGTCAAAGCAAAATTTTGCGAACGGAGTTGTTCGTAACTCAAAATGTTTGTAGGTTGTGACGTTCGTAAGTCAAGGCACCACTATATACTGTAAATACGTACAGTGCACTGTACCTACAATACAGTGACTGAACATTAAATCAACAATCTACCTCTGTTTTAGAGATTGTGGTTCCATTCTCATTCACCAAAAATTGAAACAGCATAGTGAGGACAGTTCGTAGCCAGAAACTAGTCAGAGAACTATTTCTGAAAACAAATTCATGCATGGTTGACTTAGGAGAGGTATAGTCCAAGCCCAAAAGAGAACTTTCTGTACAGCACAAGAATTAAATTGAATGTGTCAGTAATACTGCCTAGAAGCCATTCCATTTCTCAATGATATTCAAACTAGTACAAGGACTTATAAAATAATTTTAAAGCAAAAAAAATAAAAAAAATAAAACTGTAAACGTCCTTGCTCTTATATATAGAAATGGAACTACAGTATTCAGAGTTTTTCGTACTAGCTCCATACTTCAGTTTAGATGTTCACATGAATGTCATCCTTACTAGGGACTGTAGTACCTGTTTCTGGCACTGTTTAAAAATCCTACTGCTTCAGTAACAGACCATGCTATCCTTGAAAAAAAATTCACCTGCTGCCTCTTTCACCAAAAATGTGGCAGGGGAGAGGAAGGTTGGTCATCATCTAGCTAGAGAAATACACTCTATATGGGAAAAATACAGCTATAAAGACAAATAAAGGAAGAAAAATCTCCAGACAGTGCATGAGGACAGACACTGAAACACTGCCCAACAATATATATTTCAAAGAAATGAAATGCCAGTTTTCCTTGTTACATCTTCTGTATGGAATTTGCATGGAATCAAAGACATCCTGTTCTTGCACAGAAAGACAGAATTATGCTGAAAGAAAAAATCTGTTGGAAGGAGTTAAAAGCTTATTCAAGATACCTTTAGCATATTAGTCTCAGAAACAGGTGCCTGTTAGCAGAAAAAGAGACATTTGTCCCTCAGGTATAATTTAACAATTCACCTTGGCTTATCATTTCACTACAGAATTCTATTTGATTTCTTCTAAAATATGTAAAATATGAATGGCACAACTCTCAGTTTGCCAAGTGCAGACTGGAAAGTCTGCTTCACTCCCACCCTAATCACACTATATCCTTGGCCTATACTTCCTTTCTCTAAATCAATTTCTTTGGTAAGTTATCCTGCCTTTAGGTAAATTTCCATCGCAGTTAACAAGAACAACAATAAACTTGCCAGACAAGCTAGTTTAAAGTAGACAGAGCACTGAGGGATCTGGCATGTGGAAGTGTCAGCAAAGTGAGAGATGACAGGTTCAAATTTATTACCAATTTTAAGTAACATTTGGTGACCTTGTCCAGCTCACAAGAGTTTTGAGCCTCATCTGTTCCACATGATTGTTTTTTAGAACAAAATGAGGACAAAACACACCCTTCAGTTCCTTGAAGAACAGGATACAGAAATGTGTGTGCTACATTCTGGTGGAGTTTTGCATGATATTGGACTTCCTCCCTAAACCTATTTGAAATAGATAGCACATGTTATGTCAGTCTTACCTGTGAACTTTCTAGTTACAGCCGTGCCCCGCTTAACGATTACCCCGTATAACGACGAATCTGTTTTTGTGATCGCAAAACAATGTTTTAAATGGGGTTTTTTTGCTTTGCAAAGATCGGTTCCCTGCTTTGGGAACTGATTCTTTGCATTACGATGATCAAAACAGCTGATCGTCAGGTTTTCAAAATGGCTGCCGGGTGCTCAAAATGACTCCCCGCTGTGTTTTTGGACAGATTCCTCGCTCTACAGGCACCGAAAATGGCCACCCCATGGAGGATCTTCACTAGACAGTGAGTTTTTCAGCCCACTGGAATGCATTGAATGGTTTTCAATGCGTTTCAATTGGCTTTTTTATTTCGCTTTACGTTTTCGCTCTACAGCAATTTCGCGGGAACGAATTAGTGTTAAGCGAGGCACCACTGTATTTGAAAACTTTCAAATAGACACTAATTCCTTCTTCGCTTTTCACAGATTTCTTATCAATACACAATGTTAGTTATCCAAGTAGCTACAGTTTAAATGGGAAATCACTGACATTTTTCTTAATTCACTGACATTTTTCTTAATTGAATTCCACAACTATTTAGGATTCTTGCTTCTCATAGCAACCTTCAGTAACTACTGCAAGACAAAAAAGTCACTGAAAGAAGCTACTTGAAACCAATATCACTGGCAGTGAAAACCCTTCTGAAAAATGTCATACCTGAATTCTGAAACCTTACGGGAAAACAGCATTTGACAACAAAGCACTACTTGCAAGCTCCTGGTAGCTGCTTTGCTAACCATCAATAAACAGATGACAACACTGCCAAATTAAAACCTCTGACTTCAAATGGACTCCTTCCATCTCCACATACATCATTAGTGAAGCTGAACTGTAATCAGCTGTTCATATGCCAGCTTTTGAAGATAACACTTGAAGCACGTCATAATGAGAATGATGCAGTTGCTAAAGCTTTTTCACTCATCATTGAGTATTTCGATTAAAGCTGTAGTATGCACTTCTTTTAAAAGTTATACAACTTTAGTTAACAGTCCCATTTGGTAATCGGTTCTCATCAGATTTGGG